CTCCTTTACCCCCCCCAGAAAAATCCACTTACGTCCGTACTCCACTATGACCTTTGCACCATCTCTGAGAGAGTTCTTGATTGAGTCGTCAACATCCATTGCCGTCCCATCCTAGAAAGGAGTCAAGGACGTCAACAAAAAAAAAGATCAACCATCATAGAAAGCACATTAACAACGAAGAAAAAAAAAAAGCTGAAGGGAATATTCCATCCAGGAACCGAAACCCACCTCCGGGAACCAGGTCCCACTTGCCAAAATTCTTCATTCCTGGCCGTCGATCTCTGCAATCTGGGGTCAGAAATGAAAGATGGGGGTAACCTAAGTGGGACTTGGCCTGGGGGCTAAGTTCCACTACCGTAGTGGGGGTCTAGACTTGGTTTCCAGTACGCGCGGGTTCCTGTCATCCGGTTTGACCATCTCCGGGCACAGTGTGGTTTCCAGTACGCGCGGGTTCCTGTCATCCGGTTTGACCATCTCCGGGCACAGTGTGGTTTCCAGTACGCGCGGGTTCCTGTCATCCGGTCTGAACATCTCCCGGGCCCACTGTGCCCTCGAAGAAAAACACTCGAAAGGAAGACTGGACCCCCTGCTACAGGGGCTTAACGCAGACGCTAAATCCCACTAGCCTCGGTTTACTCTTCCTTCAAAGTGGCCACTGTGCAGAAGGTGCAGCTCCCCACCAATGGATCGGAGCCATCCACCCAGTGACAACTGTGATGCTTCCATCCCAAGGGCTCACTCACCACCACCACCCTTGGGATATTAGAGGTCGATTGCAAAAACAAACGTGGCCACTCTGCAGACTAGGGATGTTTAGATGGGATGACACTGCATGGCAGGAGCCTGTGCATACTCTACATTTCGAAAATCAGTCTAAACTCTCGATAGTCCAACTTGATCCATGGCCTAGGTCCCACTAGGAAGATGATGGGCCTAGGTCCCACTAGGAAGACGATGGGCCCTAGGTCCCACTAGGAAGATGATGGGCCTAGGTCCCACT